TTTTTATATTTAAAGAATTTGCCACTGATGACTCAAACGCGAGTTTTGAGCAGTGTAGAGTAACGTTTGTTTGTCATTTCTCCATTCACAAATGCAGACATGGGTTTATGTTTACGCAGCGCGATGCAATGCAACACGTAAAAAGACAGTATAAGTCATTATAATCCATAATTATGTCCCCACTGGATGTAACAAATGCCTCGTTTATAATGGGTTTTCATGTTTTTCTCTCGTCGCTCCAGCCGGACACGGCATCACAGTATGGTGAGGGGCATAACATTTCCGTCACACGCTTGAGGTATTCGGCCAATCACAACGCACTGGATAGCTGGCCAATCACAGCACACCTCGCTTTTCAGACCGATGAGCTTTGTAAAAATCGACGCGTTTCAGAAAGGCGGAGCATAGAGGAGAAACAATAATGTACAGTATGTGGAAAATAATGTTTTTTTAACCTTAAACCGCATAAACACATTTCATTACACCAAATACACAAAATACTGTTCTTTTTAGCAACATCATATGACCCCTTTAACTGTTCAGAACAAACAAGGGACTCATGAACAACCATCACAAAACAAAAAAAAACAGTCGTGGATCATCCAGGTAACCACACACAATATTAAGAACCACAAACTTTTGAATGGTTTTATTTTAATAATTTCGCAATTTTTAATGTAAACATCTTTTATGTAAATATGTAAAATCAGGACAGTACTAAATAAAAAAAAAACATGCATTTTGTATGATCTCTCTTATTTAGTTAAAATTATTCACTTATTCACAGATTCTGCAAGGGGTTCCCAAACTTTCGCATTCCACTGTAGTTAGTAGAATATCTAAAGTAGATTATCAAAATAAAGTGTTACCAATGTAAGATATGCTAAGACTGTTGAGACGTGATTGGACGGCTGTCTTACTTGGGCCGTCCCATTCCTCTGCTGTCAGTGGGCTTGGTTGGACTCTCTCTTCATGTCCGTCACTGTCTTGTTGTTCCACCTTTAAACTTCCGGCCATTTCACCTGTATAAAGACATCAAACCTTAGGGGTTTCGCGGGTACAAATGGCTAAACTGTAGCAAACTGGCTCTCGCACTGGCAGCAGCTGTTCAATGTCTTTCATTTAAAACCCTTATTCCTTGTAATTCCAATGTGCAGTTTCTCATTTTGGATTCTTTCAAGTGTCTGCTGTGGGATTTTATGCTCGTTTCTTTGGCGAGAATAGAAAAGAGGCAAGAGAGCAAGTCCCTGGACCCACCTTGATCACAGACCGGCTGCCTGTGTTAAGCCCTGTGACGAAACTTATTGGAAATGTTTAATTACAGTGTTGGGAAAGAAATTAAGCTACAAGATGATTCCTTAATTAAGCTGTGATTAAGAATTTTCTGCCTTTGGCTCTGACACCACTGGCAAAGTACTATTTAACACCGTCACAGGCAAGAGAAGTTAACTCCAAGAACAGGCCTATTTACCTCAGATCCTTACACAACTTCACACACACACACACACACACACACAGGGAATCAGTCCATGTCCTCTGCAGACAGGAAATTCCTTTCTAGTGACTGGAATGGATAAAACCTTATGATCTTAAAACTTGAGCTGAATAAATACAGGGACAGAGCCAAGTATTAAACCTTCTTGAAGGGACAAGAGAGCCAAAATACCACTTAAAAGCTGGTGCATGTTCAAACCAGAGGGTTACATGTATTCAGATAAATTTTGAGTAAAGAAATATGGATTCCTATATAATTTTGAGAAACTAACGAGTGAACTACTTATAAATTGTAATCCATTACTGATTCCAAATTACATGACAAAAATTGTAGTTAGTAAAGTAATCCATTACATTACACATTTTAGGTAATATAATCACTATTTTTGGATTACTTTTAGATTACTTTTGACCTAACTTGTTTATCACATTGATTTAAAAAGGATAATCGTGTACCATACTGATATAAAAATACAAAGAGAAAGAAAATATACATCCCCACTGGATGTAACAAATGCCTCGTTTATAATGGGTTTTCATGTTTTTCTCTCGTCGCTCCAGCCGGACACGGCATCACAGTATGGTGAGGGGCATAACATTTCCGTCACACGCTTGAGGTATTCGGCCAATCACAACGCACTGGATAGCTGGCCAATCACAGCACACCTCGCTTTTCAGACCGATGAGCTTTGTAAAAATCGACGCGTTTCAGAAAGGCGGAGCATAGAGGAGAAACAATAATGTACAGTATGTGGAAAATAATGTTTTTTTAACCTTAAACCGCATAAACACATTTCATTACACCAAATACACCAAATACTGTTCTTTTTAGCAACATCATATGACCCCTTTAACTGTTCAGAACAAACAAGGGACTCATGAACAACCATCACAAAACAAAAAAAAACAGTCGTGGATCATCCAGGTAACCACACACAATATTAAGAACCACAAACTTTTGAATGGTTTTATTTTAATAATTTCGCAATTTTTAATGTAAACATCTTTTATGTAAAATATCTTACTCAGGACAGTACTAAATAAAAAAAAAACATGCATTTTGTATGATCTCTCTTATTTAGTTAAAATTATTCACATTTTCACAGATTCTGCAAGGGGTTCCCAAACTTTCGCATGCCACTGTAGTTAGTAGAATATCTAAAGTAGATTATCAAAATAAAGTGTTACCAATGTAAGATATGCTAAGACTGTTGAGACGTGATTGGACGGCTGTCTTACTTGGGCCGTCCCATTCCTCTGCTGTCAGTGGGCTTGGTTGGACTCTCTCTTCATGTCCGTCACTGTCTTGTTGTTCCACCTTTAAACTTCCGGCCATTTCACCTGTATAAAGACATCAAACCTTAGGGGTTTCGCGGGTACAAATGGCTAAACTGTAGCAAACTGGCTCTCGCACTGGCAGCAGCTGTTCAATGTCTTTCATTTAAAACCCTTATTCCTTGTAATTCCAATGTGCAGTTTCTCATTTTGGATTCTTTCAAGTGTCTGCTGTGGGATTTTATGCTCGTTTCTTTGGCGAGAATAGAAAAGAGGCAAGAGAGCAAGTCCCTGGACCCACCTTGATCACAGACCGGCTGCCTGTGTTAAGCCCTGTGACGAAACTTATTGGAAATGTTTAATTACAGTGTTGGGAAAGAAATTAAGCTACAAGATGATTCCTTAATTAAGCTGTGATTAAGAATTTTCTGCCTTTGGCTCTGACACCACTGGCAAAGTACTATTTAACACCGTCACAGGCAAGAGAAGTTAACTCCAAGAACAGGCCTATTTACCTCAGATCCTCACACAACTTCACACACACACACACACACACTAAGAAATTAAGCTACAAGATGATTCCTTAATTAAGCTGTGATTAAGAATTTTCTGCCTTTGGCTCTGACACCACTGGCAAAGTACTATTTAACACCGTCACAGGCAAGAGAAGTTAACTCCAAGAACAGGCCTATTTACCTCAGATCCTCACACAACTTCACACACACACACACACACAC